ATTCCCCCTCGCACACCATCCCCTCCCCAGGCACCCACCAGGGGTATACACAGACACCAGCCTGGCTAGAAAGAGCGACTGCAGGTTTGGGGGTGCACGATTCAGCTCCCAGGCGGCTCCGGGAGGCCCCTGCCCACCGTCCCTTATGCCCGACACGCTAGCCAGCCCCTCTGCGGAGGCATCTCAGGCCAAGCTCGTTGGGAGGCTTTGGCTCTGTCCCTGCTCCCGCAGGGGAAGCCATAGGCTTCCCTCTTAGCTCCTCCAAGGGCTCCTGGTGCAACAGCCATTCTCCTCCCTTCGCATCCAGGGTACTCACATCCCAGCGCTGAGGCTGCTCAGGAGCCTCTGATCTGGAGCTCTTCAGGCGGAGCACCGCGGCAGCACTGTTATATGCCCGGGCAATGCTCAGCCTGGAGCAGGGTCACAGGCTTTGCTCCACTCGCCAGGCTGGCACCTCCTCAGGGCTCATCTGGGGCTCACTCACCCCTGGGCTGACACCACCTCTGGAGGTCTCAGCCCCCTTTTCCCAATCTCACACAGCACTTCCTCTGTGTGCCTTGGCTCTGGGCCAGCTCACTAGAGTTCCTCCCCTGCCGGGGTGTCAGAGTCTCTCTAAACAAACTGCCTCAGGCACTCTTCAAAGTCCACCCCCCTGGCCGTGCCACCCGTCCATGGCTGGTAGGGGAAGCCAGAGCTGCCCTCTACACTGGGTTCTAGCCCAGGCACCCTACAATCAGCAGTTAAGGCCCCCGCGGCCTCACTCCTTGCTGCTCTTTTCCCTAGGTTCCTTCCTACTCCTTTCTCTCAACTCTGAGAGCGACAGCCGACTCTCTCCCCCTGCAGCCCCTTTCAGCTCTCCACTCCCTGGCTTTATACAAGCCCAGCCTGTTCCTGCCCAGCCGGGCGCCAGGTTCAATCAGGGCTGTATGTCCAGCCTACAGCACACCCAGGTGCCACCCATCCTGCCAAGTAGCCCTTCTGAGCCATTTTAACCCCTTCAGAGTGGTGTGGGTTTAACACCCATCACAGGCTGGAAAGGAACTAGCAGCCTACCTGCCCTGGCTGGTGGACGTTCACAGTCAGGGAGTGGTCTATGGCCAGTGCTCAACAGCAACTGCTTTCCCAGTAAGGGGATTCTGAAATGCCTGGTAAATGTCCCAACAGACAGCGACCCTTAGCAGGCAGGTCCTTGGGCTGTGCCCTGGACAGCGCTTTCCTGGCATACGTGACTGTCTCCTTGACTGCAGAAGGCTGCAAATTAAGAGCAGCAGACACAGCGCCCTCACTTGCATCTGTCTGCAATGTGACTGGTGGCTGTGGATCATGGGAAACCAAAACTGGTGCTGACAGCAGTCTGCTCCTTCATTCCAAAAATGCTTCCTGCCATGCACCAAGTTCGCTCCTCCACAAATCCCTGGAGAGGCTTCGCTGTCATTGCAAACCCAGCAGCTAATCCGGAGATGAAGTTACACCGACAAAGCGTTGCACCTCTGCTACTGAAGGTGGTTTCCACTCTGTGCAGATCAGAGCTGCCCTCGGCAGAAACCAGGCATCCCAAACAATGTTCCCTCTAATTTTTCTCATCCATGTGTGGAATGAATTTTGCTATGTGCACCAATATGGAGGCGATGTAGGGTGGGGGTGCGGTCAAGGGGTTCAGAGTGCGGGAGGGCAGGGGGTGAGGGCTCTGGCTGGGGGTGCAGGCTCTGGGGCGGGGCTGAGGATGATGAGTTCAGGGTGTGGGAGGGGGCTCAGGGCTGGGGCAGGGGTGCGGGGGGGGTGAGAGCTCTGTGGTGGGGCCAGGAATGAGGGGTTTGGGGTGCAGGCTGCCCTGGAGCTGTAGTGGGGAGAGAGGACTCCCCTCAGCAGCACCAGGGCTTGGGGAGAGCATCTCTCCCCACTGCAGCCCCAGAGCTGGGGGAGGGAGGCATGTCTCCTTGCCGTCCTGCAGACCCAGGGCAGGGGGAGTTACATGCGCAGCCCTTGGTGGCCTCCTGCACAGCCATGCATGTGCGCATCTTAAAGGGAACTTAAGTCCCAAACACCTCCCCTGTGCTGCAGAGCAAAGGACACTGGGAGGATTTTGCTTTCAGGCTGACAATCTGCAGCTTCCAGCTTCCTCAGATGTTCATCCAGTGACCTACCACCAACTGGTGTCCTCCAGACACACCAGGCAGCAAACTCCTTGTAGTGTCAGCCAGGAAGACGTGTGCCAGCCTCTGAAATGTCTTGGGATGTAGCTGAGCCCCAATGGCATGCCTCCAAATTCGGAGCCCGGGCTTGGCAGTGAATGTCATTTTGGCCCCACGGGCAGGAGAAAGCAGTGCCCGCTGGGTAACTACAGAGTGGGGAATCAGCCAGGCTGCGACACCACATCAAGCATGTTCTCAATCCCTGGGAGCAGCTCTGCACCCCTCCAGCTACCCCTCTCGTCCCCCCTTCACTGAGCTCATGGGAGCAGCCCATGCACGGGGGGGAGCTTCAAAGGCCTCACACTTCTCCTCCCGGCCAAGCTGCCCTCTAACTCCGCTTGAGACTGGACTGGGTCTGCAGTCTGACAGGCCTGGCCCCACCCAAGTGTCTCTGTGTGAGGTTCCCCCTGCACCTTGTTCTCTACTATCCTCCAGGTTGCTGCTGGCCCAGCTCCTGGCTCAGGCTGCTCTTCCTTCAGCTTGGCTGGTTATAGCCCCCACAACCTGGGCCTGTCCCAGCCCCACCAACTGCCTCCCCTCCCTGTTCAGCTGCTCTCCCTCTCCCAGCCCTGCCCCTGCTCCACCTGGGGCTTCCCCCTGCAGCCAGCTCCCGTCTGCAGCCTGATCCTGGAACACATTGGCCCACTCCCTGTCTCCTGCCCCCAGGTGCCACGCTCCGGTCACTCTGGCTCACTCAGTGTCTTCAACTGGCTAGAATCCGCTCTAGGCCCCATTCCTCCCAGAATGGCCTGTGGCCAACCCTTGCCCTCCTCTGAAGGGCTCTCTGGGGTAGGGGTTAGCCAGAAAGTCCCCCCGGTACCCTTGCTCCTCTCCCTTCACAAGTCACTACTACACACTCCCCTGCCCCAAACACCCTCCCCCCCCGCCCCACCCCGAACACGTGGCCTGCACGCCAGCCAGTGCTGAACAGCGTCTGGTGCCATGTGGGACTGGCCCTATGTGTGGATGCAGGGTTTGCCTGGGAAACGGTCACTGTGGATCTCCCAGGGTAGGAGGGGTGTGTGTGGAGTGGGGGCAGTGCTGCAGAATGGCATGATGGGACAGGGTCACAGAGTGCAGGGCACCAACCACACAGCACACTCTCCAGTGCCAAGGGATCACATTCTCCACAGTGAGCTCAGCCAAGATTTGGCAGCTCTCCGGTTGGCAATGGTGCATCTGCATCTCTGACATTAACAGTGGGAGGACAGTAATCAAGGTGACCGGGATATGAGACAGTCAGGGCAGAATCACTGGGCTGTTTATTTTGGTATTAAATGTAATTCATTCTTGGCTGTCCCACAGCATCTGTTTTCCATCTGCCTCAGCTGCTTGCACTGACAGGGCATTACTGTATCCTAGAGGCCAGAGGGGAAGTGGGAGGTTTTGGCACCTAGGAGGTGGCATGGGACTGTGGGATAAATACATCCACTGAAGGTTTCAGCAGTGAAAGAGTAAAATTGCCATCATTAGGTTTCAGCGTCAACACATCTTTGAGATGAACAGCTCCAAACTATTACACCTCATCCCATATTATGACCTGGCCCCTTTTGTGCTGGGAAAGTGGCACAATCTCCCCTGCTGGGGATTGCCCCTGCCCTGCAGTCCCCAGCATAGGAGCTGGGTCAGCACTACTGTGCTCCAGCAATCCCTAGCTGGAAGACACGCTCAGGGGGCTGTTGGTGTAGGCTAGTGAAGACCCCTGGCTCCTGTAACGTGTACTGGGGTCAGGGCAGGCGTAGAACCAGCCTTGGAATCAGGGAGCTGCAGTGGTTTCCTTTGCAGCTCTCCCCTCCCCTTGGCTGAGTTTAGAGAATCCTGGGCTGAGCAGCTGGCCCGCTGTTTCAGGCTTTCTGCAGACTCAGGCAGACATTCCTGTGCCAGTTACAGCTCCTATTTCCCAAGTTCAGCCATAAGGGCTGAACGATCTATCTGAGATTCTGGGGCCTGATCCTCCAGCAACGGGAGGATCCTGACAGACTGCACCGGGCCCTGCCATTGGCTAGTGGCCTGGCACGCAGCAGGGAGGGACGACCCAGGAATCCCCTGTGGGCAGCAACAGGTCCACATGCTTGAGCTGTGGGACAAAGAGCAGGCAGCCAGCACTGCTGGGAGCTGCCCACCCAGCCCAGCTAGAGGGTCTGAGCAGTCATCATATGCAACACATGTACATGTGAACACACAATGCTACAGATAAGTTTCATGCTTTGGCCTGCACCTTCTGATTGACTGGCAACTGGGCTGAGCCCAGGGACCCAGCGTCGCGTCCACACCCGTGATTCATCCCCTCCGTGTCAGTCTCAAGGATGCACTCACCCCTCCCAGCCCTTGGAGCCTTCTACTCCATCCCTCAGCAGGCACCACCGGCCAGAGTGTGGCATGCGCAACAACAAACAACCCAGGGACTTTGGCACAACCCTGAGCCACATCACACTGTGACATCATGATGGGTCTGACCCCAGGGGACCAGCACCCACCACCACAGCCCTGGCACTAGGCCACAGCGCACCAGCATGCCGAACCACCGGAGTGAGGGCCCACAGCACTGTGGCTTCACCACGGCGCATCAGCACGTGTCACCGCCACCAAGTACTTGCATGTGGCAATGCAGCATCCCTATAGAGCACCAGCACACGGCACCGCGCTCCGCCGTGGGGCACCGCGCTCCGCCGTGGGGCACCGGCATGCGTCACCACAACATCAGCACCCAGCACAGCCACATTGGTCAGAGGTTCTGCCACTCTGCTCTCCATGCACAGCGTGGCTCCCGCCCTCCAGCCCCCTCACCCAGGACACCGGCGGCCTTACCTGGGGCAATGAGCGGGTGGGTGGTCACCGGTGTCACTGTCCGGCTCATGGGGTGCCCGCGGTTGTCCATGCTGGTGGGCATGCCGCCATCTCCCTTTTTAAGGTGCTCTGCTGCCTGCTCAGCCTGGCTGCCCTTGGCGCCTGCAGAGGGAGCCGGCCCCGCGGCCTTGCCCTGAGAAGTGTTGGAAGCCAGCTGGCTGCTACTTAGAGCCGGCTTCATGGCCAGGGTGGGGAGTTGCTGGGCTTGGGAGGAAGCCACTCCTTGTGCTACAGTCTGCTGGGCTCTTATGGCCAAATTCTGGACCTGGAGCAGAGGGGCAGGAGGGCCCAAGGCTTCAGAATGGGGCCCAGACACAGCCCCCAAGACGCGCATCCCAGGGATGGGGCTGGGCTGGCAGGATCGGCCCCTTCACGCAGGCCCTGGGGGCCAGAGAGCGACTGATGGGGTGGACACCGAGCCACCGGGAAATGGCCCCACAAGTCTCTGGCAGCACCAGTTCAGACACCCCTGGGCACAGCTGGATTGGAACCAGCGGGATAGAGTGGAAAAGCCCCTCTGAGCCACCCCCCCCGCCCATGCCCTTTCCCGCCGATAGCCCCTCCCCCTGGCACCCGCCTCTCCTGCCTACGCCCCACCTCTCCAGCCAGTGCCTTGCATCGCAGCACTGACATCCCCAACACACTCAGTCATGGGGAAGGTATTTGCTGACGGTGCCTTGGCACGCCCTGGCGGGAGTGCGTGGGCCGGCTCTGGGCACTCCAAGGGCTAGGCTCTCCTCACCCACTCCCCTCCCGCAGCCAGGGGCGGCAGGCAAGCGAGGCCGTCTCTCACCTGAGCAGTGGTGGTGGATGGCTGGGAGGTGGGGGCTGCGCTGCCCTCGGGCTGCACCGCGGTGACTGTGGCCGTAGGAGTGAAGATGAGCTGGGGGGATAAAGGAACAGCACGGCCTAGGCTCCTAGCTACTTGCACAAGGTTACTTTGCTGGGCCTGGAAATTACATGAAATGTGTTGCCTTTTACGTCACCCGCTGCTGGCTCAGGCCGAGAAAGCAAAACCAGCAGCCCCCAGTCCCCCAGGGCTGGGGACGGCCCCGGGACAGGCCTTGGGGGCACAGAGGCAGCTCGGGCAAAGGCAAGGCCAGGGGAGGTGGGTCACTGCAGAGACAGAAGAGCGGGGGGGTGTGAGACAGTGAGAGACTGGGTGTGAGGATGTGTGATGGGGGAGTGGGTGTCTATGACAAAGGATACAGTTCTGTCACCGATTCTGGGACATCTTCTGGGGTAGGGTTCGAACCACAGGGGGGCTGCAGCAGTGGGTGGGGTTGGGTCGGGTCAGCACCCCTGGGGCTGGAGCAGCTGCCGACGGTGCCACCGGAGCAGGAGCAGCGGCCGGCAGTCAGCCCGGAGCCACCGGAGCAGCGGCTGGGGGGGGTCAGCCCCCGCGCAGGAGCAGCTGCAAGTCCCCGGCCCTGCTCAGACTCTTTGCCGTCCCCCGCCCGCAGGTATTTTTAGTAAAAGTCAGGGACAGGTCACAGGCTTCACTGAATGTTTACGGTCTGCGACCTGTCCCTGACCGTTACTAACAGCACCCATGACAGAATCTTAACCTGAACAGAGAGAGAGAAAAAGAGACCTAAGAACGGCCACACTGGGTCAGACCAAAGGTCCAGCTAGCCCAGTAGCCCATCTTGTGACAGTGGCCAGAGCCAGATGCCCCAGTGGGAATGAAGAGAACAGGGCAATTATCGAGTGATCCATCCCCTGTCATCCAGCCCCAGCTTCTGGCAGTCAGAGGTTTAGGGACACCCCAGCATGGGGTTTCATCCCTGACCATCCTGAGAGAGAGAGAGAGAGAGAGAGACTGGGGGTGGGTGGGTGAGCATGTGTATATGAGTGTGCAAATGTGTGAGGCTGGAGTGCGGTGAGTGTGTACCAGGGTGGGGTGTGAGCGCCTGACTGAGGCAGTGACTGGATGATTGTGCGCGTGGGAGGGAATTTCTGCGATTGGATCGAATGGTGGTGGTGAGGGATGAAGCTGTCGAACTCCACGGAGCTATTGCGTATTCTCTGTCAGAGCACCAATATTCTGGCCCCAGGCGGCTGCAGCCCCACACGTGGGAACCCGACGCTCAGGTCGGGTCACTGGGATCTTATGGCAGGACGAGCTGGAGAAGCGTGAGAGAGAAAGTGAGTCCACGGGCTGAGTGGGTCTGACCCCCCAGGTGGGATTCCTTCCCCAGGTAGATAAGATAGATAAGCTATTACCAGCAGGACAGTGGGGTGGGAGGAGGTATTGTTTCATATTCTCTGTGTGTATATAAAGTCTGCTGCAGTTTCCACAGTATGCATCCGATGAAGTGAGCTGTAGCTCACGAAAGCTCATGCTCAAATAAATTGGTTAGTCTCTAAGGTGCCACAAGTCCTCCTTTTCTTTTTCCCCAGGTCTGTCTGTCACACCTACTGTAGGCCAGTGGTTTTCAAACTGCGGGTCATGACCCAGCACTGGGTCATGGAATGGAAGGCACTGGGTCACGGCAGCTCTGGTCAGCACCGGCAACCGGGCCGTTAAAAGTCCTGTTGGCGGTGCTGACCGGCTGAGACAGGTTAGTTCCTACCTGTTCTGACACTGCACTGCGCCCCAGAAGTGGCCAGCAGCAGGTCTGGCTCCTAGGCGGGGGGGCCATGGGGCTCCGTGCACTGCCCCGTCCCGAACACCAGCTCCACACTCCCATTGGCCAGTTCCCAGCCAATGGGAGCTGAGGGGGCGGTACCTGCGGGTGAGAGCTGTGCAGAGCTGCTTGCATACCTCCGCCTAGGAGCCGGACCTGCTGCTGGCTGCTTCCAAGGCGCAGCACAGTTTGCGGTGTCAGGACAGGCAGGAAACCTACCTTAGCACCGCTGCTGACTGGGAGCCGCCCGAGGTAAGCCCACACCCCAATTCCCTGCCCGAGCCCTGAGCACCCCCCCAAACCCTGAGCTCCATCCTGCACCCCAAACCCCTCATCCCCGGCCCCATTCAAGAGCCTGTACTCCCATCCCAGAGCCCTGACCCCCCTCCTGCACCCCAACCCCAGTACTGAGCCCCCCAAACCCAGAGCCTCCTCCTGTACTCTAAAACCCTCACCCCCAGCCCCACCTCAGAACCTGTATCCCCAGCCCAGAGCCCCCTCCCACACCCAAACCCCTCATCCCCAGCTCCATTGGGTCGCGGGCATCAACAGTTTTCTTCAACTGGGTCACCAGAAAAAAAGTTTGAAAACCACTGGCCTAGTGGCCCGACTCTTGGGGAGTGCCCCGACTGTGATGTGTGCATGTCCCTGACTCTGGGGGCTGTGACCCTGACTATGTGTGTGTGACCAGCTGTGTGTGGGGGTGCCCAGAGGACACTGGGGGGATGCACAGGGGACATTGGTGGCGGGGGGGGAGGGGTATACAGGGGACAATGGTGGCAGGGGGAAGGGGGGCAACCTGGCCCCAGGGAATATTTTTTCTTCACGGCTGACTGGCTCTGGGAGGAGGCATCAAGCCATGGCCTCAGCCAATGATGGCTGCTGACATCAATAACCAATCGGAAGTGCCCCTCACAGACCCACTGTGAGCCGGGGAGCCAGCAAGCAGCCTGATCCACCACCTACTGCAGCCTGGATAGTGCCTCTTAACCTGGGGCTTTGACCAGCAGCACCCCCCAGACTGCGCCCTCACCCACCTTGGAATCAGCACTCGCTTGTGCCCCCTCCCCTGTGCGCAGGTAGCAGGGCAGCTGTGAGCACTGCAGGGCCAGCAGGGGGCGCCCTACCTTGCCAGGTGACTGATTTCTGCAAATCATGCGCCCCTGGGGGCCCAGCCCTGACACAAAGGCATCTTGCATCCAGGCTGAACAGGTGGAGCTGAGAGTCCTGCCTCCCTTCCCCCCGAGCGTGAAATCCTGGGATGCTGCTGCCGGGATTTGAACTGAGCTTCCCAAGAGACTAGAGATTAAATTTGTCACCTGCTTCCCAGCCTCCTCCCTGTGGGCTGCCTGGGGGTAGACCCGGAGCATTCTAAGCCAGGACCCTCTAGCATGGAAGATCCAGGAGTAGCTTCACTGCCTCGCAACAGCAATAGGCTCTTATCCTCTTGTGTGGCCCAGCCATTGAGGGGAAACGTTCTAATAACGAACGACTGGGGTCCCTGAAAACCCCTGCCTGCCTGAGCCCAGCAGGCCCGGAGGAATGGCCTGGTGCCCTCCCAGCTCCAGCCTGGGGACTGTGGCACAATCCAGGCTCAGCCCCAGGCTCCCCACAGACCCCAGCAGAAAGGGCAGAGGCCAGAAAGCAGAGCTCCCCTCCCAGGCATCTGTGCAAAGTGCCCAGCCCTGGGCACCACCCCCACCCCGCTAGACCCGCAGGCACCCTGGTTCCCCTGTGCCTACCCAAGCGGGGGTGCCACAGGGCAACAGCAGCTCCTGCTGGGGTATCAGGGAGGCCCGGGAGGGGCTCTGGAGCCAACGCTGGGGGCCCCTCCCCTCTGCATTTGGCCCCTGCTCACTTCCAGCTGGAGCCCAAAAGGGAGGCAACACAGAGAGTCTCAGGTATAAACACTGCGCAGGGGAGGCACAAGCAAGGCCAGGCCACCCAGGGCCTGGAACAGGGCCACGCAGCCAAACTATGGCCCAAACACAGGCGGGACCAGGGCTCCCCAAGCACTGCGGCTAAAGACGCTCCTGGGCCCAGGGCAGCTGCTGGAGGAGAAAGGGCTGCGAGGAAAGGGAGCAGGGGGCTGGGAGGGGCTGGGAGGGGCAAACCAGGGAACAGTGGGGGGCTACATCACCAGCTCGACAGAGCCTGATGAGTACCCAGGCAGGAAACCCGCGCCGCTGGCTGCTTTGGCATAGGGTGAAGCCAGCGGACGTGCAGGGGACTGGGAGAGCAGGGGGCTGCGTGTTGGGATTGAGGGGCATTGGCAGAGCTCGGGGAGAAGCCTGTCCTATGCCTTGTGCTAGCCAGAGTTTCCGCCTCATTCATTCATTTCCATGAGCACCGAGATCCACACTTTCTGTAGCTAAGAGGCCCCAGAGGCTTTTCCTTCATTTTCCCCCAATCCCCGCAGCTCAGGCAGGCAGACAGACCTGCAGATGTGTGTAGAGGCACAGACAGACAGACTCACTCCCACCTGACTAACTGCCATGGGCGGGGCGGGGAGGCGGAAGATTCAAAAAAGAACTAGAAAAGTTCCTGGAGGCTAGGTCCATCAATGGCTATTAGCCAGGATGGGCAGGGAGGGTGTCCCTAACCTCTGTTTGCCAGAAGCTGGAAATGGGCGATGGGATGGATCACTTGATGATTACCTGTTCCGTTCATTCCCACCTGGCATTGGCCACTGTTGGAAGACAGAATACTGGGCTAGATGGACCTATAGTCTGACCCTGTATGGCCGTTCTTAAGTGCTGAGGAATTCCATGGGGCTGGCCAGTTTCCCTGCTTTCCCCAGCACACGTCCAGCCCCACAGCGCATCCGGACGGGAGCGTGTTCCCTCGACAGCCATAGGGCTGGCTGCTCACCAGCCATCCTGCTTCTCCAGCAGCACAGCACCATGGGGGAAGCATGAGTGTTAGGGGCCTGACAGGGGACAGCGGCAGAGCAAGGGGACCCCAGAGGCATGAGACACACAGGCTGCCTAGGCAGGGCTCAGGGCTGGCGAGGGGTGGGGATGAGCGATACGACCTCCGAGCCCTCAGCCCTGTGCCAGCCTGTCACCAGGGTGGCCATGGAGCTCTGATGTGCCAGCATGTGCTAGTTACAGTGGGGGAGGTTTAGGTTGGATATTAGGAAAAACTTTTTCACTCGGAGGGTGGTGAAACACTGGAATGCGTTACCTAGGGAGGTGGTGGAATCTCCTTCCTTAGAGGTTTTTAAGGTCAGGCTTGACAAAGCCCTGGCTGGGATGATTTAATTGGGGATTGGTCCTGCTTTGAGCAGGGGGTTGGACTAGATACCTCCTGAGGTCCCTTCCAACCCTGATATTCTATGATTCTATGTGGGGCTAGGACCAGAGCAGGTGGCTCTTCTAAGGGTCACTGCTGCCCTCTGGTGGAGAGAATTGGAACTGCTCACAGGTGTGAATTTGCATGTACCTCACCACTGCCCTCTGCTGGAAGCAGTCCAAGCTGCACATGGGTATGGGGCAGGGGTGCTATTCCAGCCCCAGGGATCTGGCACTTCCAGCGCCATGGCAGGCCCATGACCGATGATCCTTTGGGAGGGGTGGGGGGGGGAGCGAGGGGGAGTTTACACTAAGCCCCCCCCACCCTCACTCGCGTCTCTTTAAAAGCAGCAGGGGAGGGAGGGAGGGAGGGCAGGTGGTGCCTGCATGTGGCACATTCTGCGCCTGCCTCTTACCATCTGGGCCCGGAGGTACATCTGGGCCTGGCTGGCCGTCAGGGCGGGGGAGGTGGCATTCCCCAGGAGCACAGCCTGCTGGGCGATGCCTGAGGCGGCTGCAGAGTTCACGCTCTGAGCTCGGTTGATCAGCTGGGCGGCGGCAGGGGACGTGGCCAGGTTTATCTGGGGAGAGAGAAGGAGCCGTGGGATGGGGCATGCGGCCATTCAGACCCACTGCGGGCTCAGAGCTGCTCCCCTCCCGCAGGGATCCCCCTGCCTTTGCAAGTGCCCTCCCGAGAGCCAAGGAGGATGGAGGCTGTGTCGTGGGGAGGGGAGTCCCATAGCCTCTGGCCAGGAGAGGAGGGGGCAGCTGCAGTCAGGCTCCCTGTGTCCAGATGCCAGCCCAGGAGGGAGGGGGTGGAGATGGGTGCTGTGGGCACTGGGGCGCTGAAGTATGCTCAGCTCCTACAGGGGCTGAGTCTCTCTTCCTCCCCCAATGCCCGTCTGCCAGAGGGCTTGGCCCTGTGCCCCTCACCGTCTCACTGAACAGCTGCACAGCCCGCCCCACTCCCGGGAATTCCCAGGCCGGCCCTGCCCAGCGCCCTGCAGCACAGTGCACAGCACAGTGAGTCCTGGGGGGTGCCCCCTGGTGGCTGGACTCAAGAGCTCTAGGGCCCTGCTCCCAGGGCTGCCGGGGGGAGCTGTCCTGGAGCTCCAGCAGCATGGCACGTGGGTGTGTGTGTGTGTGTTAATACCTGCATAGGTGCCAGTTCTGTGGGTGCTATGGGGCTGGAGCACCCACAGGAAAAAATCAGTGGGTGCTCTGCACCCACCTGCAGCCATAGTCTCCTCCTCCCCCGCCCCACCTCCTTCACCTCCTCCTCCCCTGAGTGCGCCGCATTCCCGCTCCTCAACCTACCTCCCAGTGCTTCCCCCTGGCCTCCGTCAAACAGCTGTTTGGAGGCCTGTTGGGAGGGAGGGGGAGGAGCAGGAACGTGGCTCGCTCAGGGGAGGAGGCGGGGCTGGGGCGGGGATTTGGTGAAGGGGTCGGAATGGGGGCGGGGCAGGGACGGAGTCAGGGTGGAGCCAAGCACCCACCGACGGAAGCAGAAGTTGGCGCCTATGAATACATGGACGGTATCTGCTCCGGGCAGCTCCTGGCATCACTGCCCAGGAAGAGCTGGAGCAGCCAATGGTCCCACCAGGGGTTACTCAGCCCGCTGGGCCCAGTGCTGGGGGCAGCCACACAGAGCAGAGGGGCACTGCCCTGGGGTTGGACTTACCGTGGGCTGCTGGGATGACGTCTGTGAAGGGGCATTGCTGCCGGAGGAGCCACCCTGCCTGTTAGCAGCCAGACTCGCCTGGAAGAGAGAGCAAAAGGCAGGTCATCCCCACCCCGGAGCCCAGCCCAGGTGGGGGGCCCTGCACCAACAGCCCCCTGGTCCCTCCTGGCCCTTCAATATGGGGCCTGGGGTTCACAGAGCTCTTCCCTGGAAACGTTTGCTCTAAAGTTTCCCTGCAAACCCCAGCCCCATTAAAACCCGTCCACAGCTAATTCCTGAATGAAATTAGAACAAACCCTGTCATTCAGCAGAGTTCATTCTGGCCGCAACCCCGTACGCGTGGTGCCCCCTGGCATCAGCTGCGCAGCCAGACACAGGCTCACACCCCGCTGGGCAGGACTCGTGCCCAGAGCCAGACACTTGTCCCCCATTCCGATGGCTGGCATCACACCCAGGTGGCTGCAGGGGCTCGGCTGCTCCTCTTCACCCAGCTGCACTGGGGCACAAACAGAGCCAGCGTTCAAAACGCTCCTCTGGGTCCCCAACTCGGGGTAGGTAGCGCAGATCTCTGCCTATCAGCAGCACCGGAGAGGTCAGTGGGACCTGTTCCCAACTCCTCCCCTCCAGCTGCCTCTCGCCCACGGGGCAACAGCCCAGTGACTCACCCTGAAGGGCACAGAGCTTGCAGGTGGCTGAGTGGCCCAGCCCCGATGCTCAGGGGCTCCTCCTCGCCTGACAGAGGGTCCTGGTGCCCCACCTGTGGGATGGCCCTTGGGAATCCATGGGTGGTACCCAGATACCATGGTGACGGGCAGGTGAGAAGGAGGGTGCATGGGGACGGCCGATGGCTGAGCATGGGGCAGACAGATTCGGCACGTAGAGGAGGGCTCCAAGTCCCTGTCCCGTGCCCGTCACCGCAGGACGACTAGCAGGGCCCCGAGCCCAGGTCAGCCTGGAGCCCGCAGGATGGGGGTGATGTAAACCGCCGGAAGGGAGACTCTGGCAGGGAGCAGGGAGAGGCGCCCGCCCCCTGCAGCCGCGCCCCACGGTGCTTGCAACCCGCCCCCCCCGTACCTGCTGCACGGCCGCCAGGCTCTGGAGCTGGGCGCTGCTGAGCTGCTGCTGCTGCAGGGCGGCCGTCTGCAGCATGAGGTGCTGCTGCTGTGCGGCGTACATCTGCTGCAGGTACTGCGCCGCCGTGCTGGGCTGCCGGTGCAGGGCCTGCTGGATCACCTGGCAAGAGAGGCGGCGGAGCGGGGCCCTCAGCGAAGGGCCCGGCACAGCCCCGGTGCCCGGCCCCTCCAGCCAGGGCTGCGTTCTGCTCTGAGAGCAGAGAGGGAGGCCCCTGGGCCGCGTGGAAAACAAGGAGCGGTCTCTGGAGCTTTGCTGAGGGGCGGCCAGAGAGACCAGGGAGCGTTACTCTGCCTGGGGCCACGATGCGGAGGGCTCCCCCATCCATCACTGCCTGGGGCCTGCCCACCTCGCTCAGACCCCTTCCCCCGCCCCCGGGCGATCCATCACCCCACACAAAGCAGGCTGACAGCTCCTCTCTGGCCAGCCTGTCTGGCATCTGACCCAGGCCTGGAGGCCAGCTCGGGGAATGCAGGGAACTTATGGTGAATGATGGGGCTTTGGCCAAGTGGTTTCAGCCAGGGGAGTCCTGGAACAGGAGGCATCTGGGAGTGGACTGGCCAATGGCCCTGCAACAGAGCATTTACACACCATGCTTCACCTACACAGTGGACCAGCCCAAGAAAAGCCACAGAGACCCCCAGGCTTAGAGCTAAGTAGTGGGTGCTTTTCTCTGCAGCCCTGATCCCCGCAGCATCTGAGTGCCCGAGTGCCTGGCTGGATCCAGTCTTGGTTGCGGTTCTCGAGCACTCTCAGCCCAGTCACAGGCTCCGGGTCCCGACATGACCTGCCAAGAGCCTTCTGCGAGGCACAAGTCCTTTCAACTCCAGGTCCTTTCAGTGGGAACTGAGCACTCAGCACTGCACAGGATCGGGCCCTGCGTGTTCAAACACACTTTCCAACAGAAGAGCTGAAGCTGGGGTCCTCCCAACCGGCCTGCCAGCAGCACTGTCCAGCAGCAGCTCTCAAAGGGGTTTACAGAGCGGTCAGTGACACGACCCACACCACGCTCCTGGGGAAGCTGAGAAGCCACCGTCCAAGGCCAGAGGCTGCGCTGGGAATGGAATTCCAGGCTCCCGAGTCCCACGCCAGTGCTTTATACACAGAGTTCAGGGGGCCGGGTTAACCCTGCCCCAGCTAAAGACACCCACAAATCACCAAGCAGAGCAGCTGCTGAGCGGCTATGAGCAGCACCAAATCCTGGCCTCAGGGCCAGCAGGGATGGGGGCTGGGACTGCTCCAGCTTTGTTTTGTGCACTGCACCTTTAAATATCTAGGAGCCCAAAAGCAGGAGGGGGAACTGCCATTCTGTGGGGCAGGGCAACTGTAGCATGTTCCAGAGGAGATACCCACACTGTGCTCTCTAGACACTTTACCTTTTCTTGTCTTGATTTCCCTTAATCCAAGTCAGTCACAGTGAAAGGCTGACTTTGATCTTAGTGAATGGAAAACACAGCAAGGCGTGTGCAGTGCCTGAGTCTGCAGACGGATCCCCAGCTGTGCCCATCAACATATCTCCACTGACTAGGCTGATTTACACCAGCTACAGATCAGGCCCAGAAGCTCTGAGAGAGATGTCAAGCTTTCCTCTTTCATTTCAATGAGGTGCTAAAGGTGACTTGCAAAGAGAAAAATAAAGAGTTTGTGCCCTTTGTTGCATCTGAACAGGGAAGTAAAGAATGCCTGGAAAGGTTTGCTCTTTTTAAAAGACATTTTTCTGGTTGTCTTCTTGTCAGAAATCCAGCTCGGATGATCTCTGTTCCCTGGGAGCTATATGGAGGACAGAACTAGTTGCATTATGAAATCACACATATCATGAGAGTGACACTTGGTTCCCGCAGACAGGAAGAGATGTCAAATCCAGTCCCTGGGGTTGGTTTGCATTTAACTCACATACCTAACAAATCCTTGGCAGAAAAGCAGTCTTTGTTGAAGAGCCAACATCCCAGCTCCTTTGATTAAGGACTGAACTAACTTCCACCCTACTGCCCTGAGCCTTCCAAGGTGTCCTCCAGCCAAGCCTTGGCAGCCCTGATCTACCCCCTAGGGTTAATAAAGCCATAAAAAGAACCATCCAGACCTTGCATCAGAGAGAAGGAAAAAGGCCCAAACCTGCCTGTGTCTTTCTAGCTCACCTCAGACTCTGAGGCTTAGTGGCAAATGACATGGCCACATTAACTCTTTCACTGCTGGTCATCTGATCACAAATATCTACCTATCGTAGGTTAGTCTCTAAGGTGCCACTAGTACTCCTTTTCTTTTATTGTAGGTAGTTATCTGGCCCCACCACTGTAGGTCTGCACTCCAGATTAAATATATTTCTCCTCCCACCCCCCTGGCAGACAGGGCAGGCCTGTTATTACCATTGTACAGGGAGGGAACTGAGGCCCAGAGTGTCTAAGTGACTTTCCCAAGGTCACAGAGAGCGTCTGTGGCCGAGCAGGGACTTGGCCCTAGGGCTCTCCAGCCATGTGTTCACATCTTAATAACTGGTCCTCTCTAGCCCACCTGGGATCCGGGGTGGAGTCAGCCCTTCTTCATCTCCACTGTGACCTCTGGCCTGAATGGAGTGGTAACAGTCAGTTGCATGTTAGACCCTAGTATATTGACCATACAGTCCTGCCATCATGGGCATAAACCCACCCAGAATTTATTAATATCTGTGAGACACCTGTAACCAAATGACCCTCAAGCGCTTTGCAGACATTCATAAACAATACCTTAAACAACATGCTGGGACAGGTCAGAATGCTCACCCCCTTTTTACAGGTGTGAAAACTGAGGCACAAAGAGGGGACATCCCCAAAGCCACAAACCAAGAGCAAGGGATAGAACCCAGCTCCCCTCTCTAACCAAACAGGCTTTGAAGTTGAGAGCAGAAGTCACTGGCTTGGGGGTGAAAATCCTGATGAGAACATTGTAGTGCTCCAAACAAGGCTCCAAGAGACAGAAAAAACAGATGTAAGAAAACACTGGGCAAATCGTTGCTCCCCTCTGCACCTCAACAACAGAGCAAGGGCAGTACCAGGCGAACTTCAGCACACCTCCACTGCCCCCCTGCTGCCATGGGCCATCCTGAGCCGCACCTCCAGCTGCACCATGGCAGCAGGTGTCAGATGCACCCAGACCCCATGGCACAGTGATCCTGGATCGCCCCTCTCACTTGCACGACTGCTCCGGAGAGATCCCAGAGCATCCCAGCTGCCATGGGCCAGGCCGAGCTGGACCGCTGAGCAACGATCAGACTCCATTTCATCCCTCACCCCTTCGCATAGAGATCCACTGCCCCTTCTATGCAACACAGCAAAGTTCATCCAGTGGCTAAAATAAAGGGTTTATCAATATGCGCCGAGCCAGCCCCCTCATCCCCTCCCCCACTGCAGCCTCCCTGGCACACCCCTCCCCCACAGCCCATTCAAAACACTGCTGAACTCATCCCCAGGCCCCCTGCCCATTGTTCAGACCATGTCACCGCCTCTCCAGATCCCCCTGCACACCGTGTCAAAGTCCATCATCCCCGCAGCCCTTTGCGGCTCTGCTCCCCAACTCACCCACCTTGAGCTACTTCTGCCTACCCTGGGACACTAGCCTGGGCAGCCCCCTGTCTCCTCAGGGCAGCAGGCCCTCCCTGAACTCATCTGTGCGCCCAATGCCCTCTCCTCTTTCCACCCCTCCCAGTCTAGGGCCTTTAATGGGGATCAGCCAACGGAGGGGCAGAGCAGACTTGACAGAACCCCCAAAGACACAGAAACACGGGTGGGGGTATCTGCAAATCACACGCTCCTCCATTGTGTCTGGCCCATGGCACCCATGGCATGTTGATCGTTCTCTGTGGCCAGTGCGTCCACGGTGGGTATAGACCACTGCTGTGCCAACCCCAGGGGGTCTGCCATTCCCCCGCCCGGGGCAGATGGCCACACAAGGAGCAGGGCTCAGGGACCTCGGTGGTAAGCATCTGTGCGCGCCCAGCCTCTGGGCACTGCCCCTCAGCCAGGCCTCAGTGCACACAGGGCCATGCACGCATGTCTCTCTCCTCAGGGGGCTGATTCCCAAAGGTTGCTGTTCCTCCCCCAGGCCCCATGCAGGCTGGGGACCGGCTGGCAGGAGGGGGGGAGCTCATTCTTGTATCATGCGTGGGGGTGCAGAGGGTTCAGGGGGCCAGTAGTACCAGTCCCCCAATGTCAGGTTCCAGAATCAGGTCCCTGACTTTGCTGAGGCCCCAAATCAGAAAGAAAAGCTCCTTCCATGCAACCCCGCCCAAATACCCCCTCCCATACTCCCCCCAACTCCTTCCCTCACCCAAATACTCCCCCACATCCTTCCCCAACCCCTCACCCGCCCAAATACCCCCTCCCATACTCCCCCCAACTCCTTCCCTCACCCAAATACTCCCCCACATCCTTCCCCAACCCCCCACCCGCCCAAATACACCCTCCCATACTCCCCCCAACTCCTTCCCTCACCCAAATACTCCCCCACATCCTTCCCCCAACCCCTCCCCCAATCCCCTCCCATACTCCCCCCAACTCCTTCCCTCACCCAAGTACTCCCCCACATTCTTCCCCAACCCCTCACCCCCCAAATACCCCCCCCATACTCCCCCCAACTCCTTCCCTCACCCAAGTACTCCCCCACATCCTTCCCCAACCCCTCACCCGCCCAAATACCCCCTCCCATACTCCCCCCAACTCCTTCCCTCACCCAAATACTCCCCCACATCCTTCCCCAACCCCCCACCCGCCCAAATACCCCCTCCCATACTCCCCCCAACTCCTTCCCTCACCCAAATACTCCCCCACATCCTTCCCCAACCCCCCACCCGCCCAAATACCCCCTCCCATACTCCCCCCAACTCCTTCCCTCACCCAAATACTCCCCCACATCCTTCCCCCAACCCCCCACCCGCCCAAATACCCCCTCCCATACTCCCCCCAACTCCTTCCCTCACCCAAATACTCCCCCACATCCTTCCCCAACCCCTCACCCGCCCAAATACCCCCTCCCAGCTCCTTCCACCCCCAAAAAACCTCTCCCCCCCCAGCTCTTTCCACCTCCGCCTCCCCAGTATCCCCGCGGCCCCCGCCACCCAGCCCCGCGAACAC